GCAGACATTGTTACGCCTCTAATCATAGCACATTGTACCTTTCTGTTAGTGCATAAGCGTTAGCTGTTGCTTTGTCATGTTACCATTCTTTATCAACTGAAGTTCATCAAATTGCAAGACGCACAATCTCTTAAAATCTGACATGCCGTTTGCTTTCTTTTTTAAAATGCTCGTTACACAGTGTAAAATTCCAGGCTCAACATTTAACTTGCTCACCTAAAAGTTGATGGGGAGGGAAGGGGAATAATTTTCTGATTCCTTACACAGGAAGAATCATCAATGGAAAATTCTCTTCCACGTCAACATCTAAGGTCATTAGTGACGAACTAAAATATAAAGCGATATGGTGAGGCTTGGGCGCTAAGCCCCTAGGTAAGGAAAGGTCATACAGCACTATGATGAAATATTGTAGCAAAAAGGGTGAACATGAGTTAATGATAAGGACAAAATGTTAGATAAAGGTTGAGAACGCTGTAATTTAGTATATATATACATAAATATACATACGTATGTATATATATGTGTGTGTGTGTGTGTGTGTGTAAATATATATATATATATATATATATATATATATATATATATATATATATATATATATATATATATATATATATATATATATATATATATATATATATATATATATATATATATAATGTATATGTACATATATAAATATATATACATATATATATATATATATATATATATATATATATATATATATATGTATGTATGTATGTAGGGGTAATGCTCCTCCCACCCAGCAAGTGAGGCAGGCTATAGGCCCCGTTAGGAGGGCGACTGCCGGGACACAGGATGGGAGCAGGACCTACTCGTCCCACCTGCGTTTTGGCAGTCGCCAGCCTGGAGTGAAGCTTGTGGGGGAAAGCCATGGGTGGATGATGGGTCCTGTAGCCTGCCGCCCCCCTTTATATGGAGCAGCGTCAGCTGGGGTGGCGTCCACCCGGAGTGACTGCCCGAGGATAAACCTCAGGCGGGAAGTCAGGGTGGGGGCTTGGAACGTCCGTTCTTTGCGTCAGGATGATCGGATGCCTCTGCTGTCGAGGGAACTGGGGAGGCTGAAAGTGGAGGTGGCTGCTCTCTCGGAGGTGAGAAGACCTGGCAGCGGCACGACTAGTGTACGTGGCTATATCTACTACTGGTCGGGCTGCAGCAATGGTCACCATCTCCAGGGAGTAGCCATGGCCATCTCCAGCAGACTCCAGCCCTCGGTAGTAGAGGTTACTCCAGTCGAAGAGCGTATAATGGTAATAAGTCTGAAGCTGTCTTTTGGCTTCATGTCTCTTATTGCTGTGTACGCTCCTACCAATGTTTGTAAACTTGACATGAAAGAGATATTCTACGCCAAACAAGCATCTGTGTCAGACAGGTGTCCCTGATGAGATATTCGTATTGTTCTGGGTGACTTCAATGCGGTATCTGGCTGTGATGGAGCTGGCTATGAGATGTCTGTTGGTCCCCATGGCTCAGGAACTGATACCGGTAGTGAGAATAGCCTCCTTTTCTGGGACTTTACTAGGTCCCAGAAACTGAGGATTTCTGGCTCCTGGTACCAGCGCCCAGACCCACATCATTGAACTTGGTACAGCAATGCAGGTAATGCAGCCAATGAGATCGACCACATACTCGTTAGCACTCGGAGGATCCTCCAGAACTGCAAGGTGTATAGGAGTGCCGAGTTTTGTGGTACTGACCATAGATTGGTTGTGGCTACCCTTCGGGTCCACTTCATAACTCCCCAGCGGTCCAATGATCACCCCAGGGTGTTTCACTTGGACAAGCTGAGGGAGGGGGAGTGTGTCTGGGGGTTTGCTGAAGCAGTCTCTGGTCGTTTCGCAATGCTTGACAATCTGACAGACCCTGTACTTCTGTGGGACACCTTCAAGCACGAAATGCTTGATGCAGCTCAAGTGACGATTGGTGAACGCCTGAGAGCAAGACAGAATTTTATCTCACAGGAGAGACTGGATGCCACAGATGCTTGTCATGCGGCTCGTCTGACAGGGGATCGGGATTTGCACCGTTCTCAGGTGTGCAGAATTCGGTCACTGTTAAGAAGGGACAAGGAACAGTTTATTAGGTGTCTTGCTGAGGAGGCAGAAGACCATTTCTTGGTAAATGACCTGAGAAAGCTGAACTCCAAGCCCTCTTCTCAGGTGACAGCAGTTCGCTTAGTAAATGGCCCATCCAAGCTGAAGAGTGGCAAAGCAGAGGGTATTTGCGGCATCCTAGCTGAACTGTTAAAAGCTGGTGGGGAACCTATGGTGCATGGGTTGCATGCTGTCCTGGCTGCCATCTGGCGGTTTGGTATCATTCCCACTGACCTGTTGAGGGGTGTGGTCATCCCTCTCTGGAAGGGGAAGGGGGACCGATGGGACTGCAGCAATCACCGAGGCATCACACTGCTCAGTATACCAGGCAAGGTTCTTGCCCACATCCTTCTGAGACGTATCAGAGACCATCTACTGGGGCA